GCCAAAAATTATCCATTAGAAAATTTTAGTTGAATTTCTGAGAATGGTACAGGAGCCAAACGTTTGTAGGAAGAAGTGAAGTCTTCTCATGTGATTGCTCAATTGGACATATGCACTTTCGGTTTGTGTTTTGGAATTCTTAACAGCGGGTTCCAGGATGGAGTTTTGGCACTGAGAATCACTGTTATACGGGACAGAAAGGTGGAGGCTGACTTGGCTTTGAAATTCTACATCGCGGTGGCTTCTTTGCTTTGTTGGTGACTTTAAGCTCAGTGTCTTGATGCAAATTTGGGCTCATTTTGTTTTGTTGTTTTTGTTTTATTTTGTTGCAAGGAATGAAATTCAAACTACTTGCTTCCCCTCTGCAAATGGGGGTAAGGGTGGGAACAAACTGTAGAAATGGAGATGTGCTTCTGACCTCAAGTGGGGAAGGCCTGGAGATTCAGACTTTCCCGTGAGTTGGAAGGCATCAATTTCTGTCTTTCCCGGTTTTTACAGATCTTCTTCTGACCAAAGTTCATTTGCATTTTCTATCAGAATTTCCAACGTTGTTTCAAGTTTCTTTTGAAGATGTCTATAGTTACATTCAGAACCAAATACATGAAGCCAAGCAAGGCCAACAAACTAGCGCAGAGAGATCAAGGCTCCCTTTAAAAACAAAAGCAGATAAAATATTAATGCTATAATCTCTCATGAACATCCACAGAGACTGCCAGTAGTCTCTACTGTAGCTACCTGTTGTTTTATAAAAGATGNAAACCTCAAATAGTTTTGAGCCACATGATTTTTGTAAAAATCTGTACTTAATTTCAGGGCATTTTCAAAATCTGTGAAATAATGTAATTTGTTAGAATATCAGAAGTGTCCTGATGAAATAATCACTTAAAGAATTATAATAGCTACAAGTTACTTTTTTTATCCTTTACAACTCATATGCATCTAGTTTAAAACAACTTATCCCACTATAATTTTAAATAATCAATGATTTTCCTTTGAAACTGTTACTGTGCATTTACTATTCTATATTCGTATCAATTAGATTATACCAATATTATTATGAAATGTCTCAGAAGACAATAAATTTCTGGGCCTTAGTTCGCATGTGTAAGAGAAGGTCTAATGAGGTAATTAGAAAATGAAGCC